GGGGGGGGGGGGGGGGGGGGGGGGGGGGGGGGGAGGCTCATGGGGCAGCGAGAATGACTTCTGAGAATAGGGATAAGAGAGAGTGAGGTTTAAAATGTGTGTTTGCATAAATGTGTGCATGAGAGACCCACCTTTTGCAAACTGGAAGAGTTGAGCTGTGTCTTATCTATGATCTTTACAGCCACCTGGAAGCAAAACGAGAGCGTGTTGTGGGATTATTACACCATAAGAGTCTTTAAAAAATTGAGTTCAACAAATTTATGGGGCATACACCAACCCACCAACTGTAAACATACACTGCTTTTCTGGGACACATCACACAAGTCTGTATTGGAATAATCAGGAACAGTACAAAATCAGACACGCAATCACAGCTGGCGGCAATTGCATAAGAGGACAAAAAGAAACGCATGGAGTGGGGGTGAATCAAAGTTTTTGCCCAAATCATTATGAGGTGGACAGTTCATAATCCAACAGTGGTCAAAAGCTTGTCGTGAATAGAGAAAGAAAAAAAAGAAAAAACTAAATAAGCTATAATAAACATGAAGGGGCAAAAAAGGAAGGAACAGACAAGAAAAAAAAGAGCACGTGACAGCAAGAAAAACAAAGAACCACCGTTTCACCGGGACACAAAACAGAGATGTCTACTTCTTTCCCCTATTTCTGTCAATTAACTGCTGTGTTTCACTCCTCTTTTCTGGCTGTGCGTGTCTGACGCCTTCCTGCCCTCTGAGTCGCCCTTGTTTTTCTTGGTGTGCATGTGCGTGATTGTGCCAGCGAGTCACATGGAGTGTTATCAGGGTGTCAGGCACCGAGGTGTCACACAGTGACTGATCCCGCCCACCGTACTCGCGCTCACATGTATAATCAACAGTGGGCTTGATTGGGCATCGGACAGAACCCAGCGTGGGCTCGGTGGGGACATGGCTTTACCCTTAAAGGGACAGATCAAAACGTTACATCACATCTGCAGTTGCCCGTAAGCCGCAGACATTCAGGCTTCTCTATTCAGGCTGACAATGGCAATCTAATCTCCCGCAGAGGATCTAGTCTTCAAAGCTGGGCGAGCCTCAAATCAGATGTTATGTTCATCACTGTGAGCATTTCTGTCCCCTTAGCAAACATTTAAACTCCCTTCACAAAGCACTGAGGTAGAAGCTTTCTTATCCCATTTGTAATGCTTAGCATCTTGATTCGTGTGGAGACTTCTGGGTTTGACAGGTGTAACAGCTCAGAGGGATGGGGGGGGGGGTCCTGTATTTGAGTATTTCGTGACTCAGAAGACTAAACTATTATTGTAGAACATTTAAAAAAAATAAAAATGTCATCATACATAAAAATAATCGACCGGATAACCAAGGCAAGGTGATAAGATGAAAGCCCCTGGTCCAGTCCCCTGTGCGCATCATGCCCACCTCTTTTCCAGTCAGGACGTGCCGGGCCAGTTTGACCTTGGCGAAGTTGCCTTTGCCGATGGTTTTCAGTAACCGATAGGTACCGATGTGTGGCTGCTCATCTGATGTGGTCGTAACCACCGAGTTCCGACATCGCGGCATGCTGAATCGGCCTGATGACGACTTCTGCTCCTGCCCAAACACAAGGAAATACTTAGGTGCAAGGCTGCAATGAGTCGTAAAATGACAGTCTGACAGGAGGGATGAGATTTAGGGGGGAAAGAATCGTTCATTCATAATAACTTTTTCAGTTATTCCTTTCTTAACAGAAGTGGTCAAATCAATATCAGAGGTTAAAAGAAACAAAAACCAATAATAGAAAGAGATGTCAGAGGTCAACAGCACTACATATTTAAGAAAGACTGGTTTGCCCAGTTTCCATGGTTGCAGGATAATAAAATAGCACCACACACTATGGTATCACAGTACTACTGGGGCTATTGTTAAATTATGTTGAACATTCAGAATCTAAATGAAAAAACAAGAATAAAAAAACTGTATCATCTCTTTTCCAGTAGCCTGAAAAAGAGTGTTGTCCTGCCTATCAGCATATCAACAGCAAATTCTTGACAAATACAAAGATTTCATATTTACTTCCTGTGCATACATGCGACCACACAACGCATGTAAAGTTTCTCTTTGCACTACTAAAGCAAAAACATGTTTTTAATCCATAAATAAAAGTGGAATAAACAAGGAAACTTCTTGTATGTTTTTTTTTGGAGGCAAATGACATTAGTTCATCTCCCAGCAGGCCCTCGTCCTTAAAGTGTTAAACCTGAAACTCTGAACTCTGAAAAAGAAAACAAAAACCTGGCCATGCTGGTGGGTTTTAAAGTACGGTTAGCAGCTGCGATTGGGTTTCAGCTCCAGGAAAGGGTCACAGCAATTGTGTGTGCATGTGCGATCTGAGCGGACAGGTGACAGGGATCACGGTCAGAGGAGAGGGCGACTGGCTCCAGGGCGACGAGACGCAAAAACACACACACACACAGGCCGGGACAGACGGCGAGAGGCGCACAGATCCTCGAATACGCTGTTGTGCACACAAAGGTGAGGCTGCGCAGATGTGTGTGGCCGCCTGTGAGAGCATAAACACACCTCTCTGATGCATGGCCAAGGCACGGAAGTGAAATCCAGTGTTGGTGTGATGCCATAATCTTACCATCTACAAAAAACATGCCATTGGATTATTAAATTACCAAAACTCCTCATTGTTATCAACTCCTTCTTCTTGTTGGATCATGAGAAACGAGGATCATCACGATTACTTCACTGTCTGTGTGTTTCTTGTTCCAGATGGTATGATCTAATGTCTGCCCCCCCCACCCCCACCCCCCCACACACAAGAATCCACATGCTGACTTGGCTAACTTGAAATAGATATAACAGGGCAGATTACACTTTAACACAAGAAGGGCAACTTGGCTTTAAAACAAATGACAGATGCATTGAACCCGGAGGACAGGGGAAGGGCCTTATGTGGTGTTGTGTGAGGAGAGCAGCCAATGATTTTTATTTTTGGAACATGTGTGAGAGTGAGGCAGACCAAATGTCCTATACAAACACCGTTCAAGACAATGGGAGCCAGTCATTGGGTCTGTAGTGGACTTCTAAATGAGCCGGGCTGCCATCGCACGTGCTCACGTGACTCCGCTACCTCTGTCACGTGCCCAGCTTTGTATGGATTTTTCTTACAGTTTCACCATCCCACATAGCAACAGGTCATATTTTGCCCTCAACAAAACATCCATGTATCTCAGAGGTCTCTAAGAAGTAGCTTTTTGAAGTCTCAGTACATGTATTCCTTAGCTCTAATAAAAATAAAAAAAAACCTTTTCTCCAACATTTCAAATGAGTCATCTTTGAGGTTACTTCCCTGGATTTAGACACAAAGTATTTCTTGTGTTTCTTGCCAAGATCAGATATTTGAGTTATGCTGTAGTAATGTAAGCTGTGCTCTTTAAAGAGTTTGTAATTATGAGAGAATTCCAGGAGGGGCACTAAATTGTTCGGAGAAATGTCAAAAGTTGTTTTCTGGTGTAGCACACCATCTGTAATTTCAAATGTTGTTCTTAGGTATTGTAGAGCAACTTTGAACAAAAGGCACACATTTTCCTGCACAGATTATCAAATGAATAAGGCTTATCATGAGTCAGTAAAGGCTCAAAGACAAAAGACAAGACTTGACAAAAAAGGAGTACACACCAGATGACAAAGGTCATTCCCGAGTGTAATTATGTAACTTTAGTGTCATACATTCTGACAGACTGGGTAGAAAAAAGGCAATGAGACTCAGCCACTGTGTGGCTTAGTCTTATTTTCTGTCTCCATAAAAAAAAAAAACATACACAGTGATCTGTCTACACTTTTATTAGGAGCAACCAAGTGTAAAACTGTGACTGTGCAACACAACGCCACCTCTCAGCATCATTTTTTACAACACGTCTCCCTCCTCGGTCCGACGGTCGGCTTGTTATTAGGCCTCTGGGTTCTGAGGCTTCTGACGCTCATAAAACTTTTTCATTTTTGGCATGAGTGGACAGCGCGTCTTGCAGTTCTGGGAGCCAATAAAGTGACCCTTCCAGCCCAAGCGGGCTTCCTCAGAGCTCTCTCACCACTTGCATGGTGCTCAGCTCTTTGGACTTCCGTCTCTCCTATCCTCTTTCATGTCTGACTATTTTGGTCGACTGATTCTTCCTTCAGTTTTTGGGCAGCTGCAGCCTAGCGAGCCCCCTCCTGTCATACACTACGACCCCCCCACCCCTGCCATAATTATAGATGATACACTAGACATCAAGTGACATCATTGTTTGGTTCTCACATTACTCCCTTATCTCGAGTTTGACTCGGGAAAACCAGTGGTTGAGAATACTACAAGTATTACTAATTAATAATCAATAAGTAACACTAATATGCACTCAGTTTCACATCTGTTAATCATCTCATCAGATGAAGGACCACTTGTCAAAGGCAGTGAATCAGAAACACAAAAATGAAAGGCAAATCAGGGGATGAAACCTGCTTTCAATAATGTTTGTGCTCGTTTGCTCATAACGTTGACTGAATTCAGACAGGGAAAAAGTAAAGGAAAAAGTTGTCATATTGAATATGTGATGTACCCAAAACCTGCTTGATCCACAGTGGGTGATGCTGAGAGATAAGGCCCTTTATGCCCGGTTCCCACCGTGTGGAGGAAACCATTAATGCAGTGTTTACATCCTGCTCAATTGAGACCCCTCTTCCAAAACACACATAGACCAAAAAGTTCCAAACGGCATGTTTACATCTGAAAACCATTGACTGCCACTCTACCAGCACAGGCACACATGATCAAAACACAAGACACACACACACACACACACACAGCAGTTAATCCAAGGTAGCGCTGGTCATGCTTTGGCTCTGGCCTCATTACCGCTGATCTTTGCTAATCTGAGTTCTGGGAGGAAGTCATTCCGATGGCGACAGAATCAGTTTTACACAGCACCATCAGCAAAGTTAGAGGAAGCTAGTGCAACAAGGCATTAACGACAGACTGCTGAAACCAAGGGCGAAAGAAGTTCAACTGCAAGTGGTCCGCAGACCACAATACAGAAAATGATGCAATAATGTCAACTGCAGTCGTTCAGCTGAAACCGCCGATACCGCATATGGAGCAGGGCACGCAGAGACCTAACGGCCTCCGTCCCATCCAGATATTTCCCAATATGGTTCATCTTAAATTAGCATATGTGGAATCAAAGCACTGAAAGGGAATAACTGTTTCTTTAAGACAGTTGAAGAAATTCAGAAATAAAGAAAAAAAGAAAAGACGAAGGATCAGTAATTAAAGCTCCTTCCATTCGGTGCTCCATTTCATGACAGAGTTTTAGTTACAGTTTTTATTCCATTGTTTCAGTAGATCTTCTCAAAGAAAAGAACAGAGGCTGGCTGAAGGTCAAACACTGGTCCAGTTAGAAGCCTATACATCCGACGGGAGAACGAAAACAAGAGAGACGCTGGCAGCCCAGTCAAAACCCGACTTACTTAAGAGTCGCTGTAATGCCAGCTACATGTGACCTCAATATCAGGCCTGTAAGCTTCCCCGATATGGCCCATTTAACATGCCGAGCTGAAGATATGTGCTGTCCCTGAAAAACTACTGCCTGTGACCTGCCGGGGATGCAGTCATTCTTGACTAAATTAACCGTGGTCATCAATTGGGACCACCCAAACTGGCTGATTTGGCCTTAAAGGGGGCTTACCCTGGATCACCAAGACATATTTTCAACAGTATCTCTCACAGCTGCTGTGTTGTTCCAGTCATGAGCCAGTAAGCCAGCTCCACGATAAATGGTTTTGCTTGCTGTACTTAAACAGTTGTTCAACAATTCTAAAGCATTTAAAGTTCAGCATACTCATACTACCTTACAGAGGCCCCGAGTAAGCCTATCAACTCATACTTGAATTGTTCTTATTTACCCAACAATTGAAGAGTTATATCATTCTGTGGGTTGTTCATTTCTTTTTTTTTAATCCATCAGAAAGCACTTCTGTGTACAGATTAATAAGTACCCTTAAAGTTAAATAGTAAACAGTGTTGATCTTTCCTTCCAACTGTGCCTGTGATCGTGGTGGTGCTCCCATAAGCTCGTTTGTTTCCGGTGGGTTAACGTCCACGTCTGAGCTGAACGCAGTTCCGCATTACTGAGAACTGAGTGATCATCTGCCAGCCTACACCAGCACGCCGCACACTAAACTTCACCTCGGCTTCTACCAGCAGAACGCACTTGTCGGGGTGAAATGACGCCATTTGATGCCTGGCTTGTGAGTCTGTCACCTTTGCGTGCGGCTGTTTGAACGCGGGAAAGGGGCGCTGCCCAGACCTAAGCTGGTGTTCGGCACCAACGCCGACATGTGCCTCAAAGGGCTCCAGCTGCCCCGCTGAGCTGGAGAGAGGGGCTCCAAGCGGAGGACAGCGCCATTCTGGCTGCCGTCTGACGTGCGGCCAACGTGGTGAAGTCATACCGGCTAAATGAACTGGCCTCCACGCGAGGGAAAGGGGAATCGTGAGAGGCCCTCTGCTTTAGCAAGGTGGTGTCACGCTGGGTCTCGGTTTGCTGCGAGTGTGGCGTTTTGTGTGTGTGTGT